GAATCCAGCCATTCTAAGTACACCAAATAATGGACTGGTGAATCACTATGTAACTACATAGTACACAGTCACTAGTCTAGAATCCAGCAATTCTAAGTACACCAAAGAATGAACAGGTGAATCACTATATAACTACATAGTACACAATCACTTGTGTGGAATCCAGCCATTCTGAGTACATCCAAGAATGGCGACATAGTGACAGAATTATGATTAGCTTTCTCCATTACTATGGAAACAAGCCATGCATGGCACAGTCCCTGTTAGTTATCAAATTTAAGGTATATAGTTTTGTTTATAGTAATATAGCTGGAATATAACCATGTCAGGAATATGATTTTTTAACATTAAAATGATTGACATTTGTATCTGATCGTCAAAAAAGTACTTGTCCATATTGAGAGATATTGCTCTGGAACAGCATTCAAAATCAGCCATTTTGAATACATGTATATATATAACATGATGTATAACGAATATATAAAATTTGAATATAATCGGTCAAAGCATTTAAGAGATATGGCTCGAGTAGCCCAATCATTAAAAGAAAATGGCCACCTGACAACCATTTTGAATCCGATCTGAAAAATAAAAGGATGTGCATCAGGAACCTGTAATGTCTAACATATGTACCAAGTTTGAACGAAATCCATCCATAAATGCTTGATAATAGATGATTTTTTTAGCACAAAAATGGCCACCATTTGGCCATTTTGAATAGGATCGTCAAACCAATATATCTGTCTATCTATGACATGATGTATAATGAATATTTAAAATTTGAACATAATCAGTGAAAGCAAGTCAGAGATATGGCACGAGAACCACATTCATTAAAACAAAACGGAGGTCAAAACATAAGTCCCTGTTTTCGGACTGCGTCCGAACGGGGACTAACAAGCATGCGCACCCACCCACCCACAACACTTCTCATGATCACAGACGGCATCTATTCTAGATAAAGATAGCCATACTTGCAGAAAAAGTTTATTTATTTAAAATTATCGCACATACAATCTGGTAAATATAAACACATACTATCTGTAGTACAAAAATCAATTGTGAATAAACCAACAAATGCATTCATTGTATACTAGATCATTTACAACATAATTGTGACTTTACTGATAATTAATATATGGCAACAGGGACAGTAGTTAACACTAGTTAACATTCTATCTGTGGTTGAGTTTCTAGTAAACGTCAATATAGCTATACTTTAACAAGTAATACTGTACATTTGGCAAGTTTTAAAAGTTTTTGACTGATAAAGCTAGATTTCTTACCAAGATTTGATTTGCTACTCAAAGTCTATATTTAAATTGCCCAAAGTTAAAGTCAGTGTCTCCCTACCCCTCCCCCAGTGTCAGTCATTGTTTCCCCAGTAAAAGTAACTATGTCTCGCTAGCCCCTCAGTAAAAGTCAGTCTCCTTAGGACCCTAGTGAAATTCAGTGTCTCCCTAAGACACCAGTGCAAGTCAATGTGTCTATTTGTCTTGAGTATCCTAGTTAAAATGTTTTCCAACAATGATGTCTGACAAATTAAAGCAGTCAGTAAATTCAAATGAGCTGATTTCTCTGTTTATCCAGAATATATGTCATAATTTTTGGACTTCATATTTTGATACAAATTACAAGTACGTAATCATATATTCATACACTCTAACACTGTAAAACTTATCTATACCAAACAACAACTGAAATGAAATGAAATATAAGTGTTTATAGACTGAGATGAATTGTGTTATAGAGGAATTTTTCATTGTTTAAGTCTATTCATTCAATCACTCACATAATATAAAATAATCTACCCATTCTGATTGGCTTGAAGAATTTAAGAAGAAACATTCTGATTGAGTGAAAACTAGGAGTATAATTGAGTATAGTAGGAGTGTCCTGATTGGCTCTTCAAAGTCTGTATATAAATAAACTAAGCATTATTTTGTAAAGGCACAAGAGTAAGTGAATTAATTATTTAAAACTGGCTCCCTCTCTTGGATACATGCCTCTGGATACACATTCAGTGTTCATTTCGCCAAGACTCTTAATTCTGGATACATGATTAGAAATTTAGTTGGTTCTATCTTCCATATACATCCAGGTATCTCTGACTCCATTCTGGACACACATACAGTTAGTGTTGGGTTCCCGTTCTGGATACATATTCAGGATACTCATCCAATATTCACTAGCTCTAAATACAAATTTATTATTCCTGACTTTGTTCTAATGATATATTCAGCATGCTATGGGGTCCCTATTTGATATATTCAGCATGATGGGGTCCCTATTTGATATATTCAGCATGCTATGGGGTCCCTATTTGATATACTTTATTTATAGCATACTAGCCCACATGTGATAACAGGCTGTATTGACTACGTATTCCACATGCTCATGGCACGCTAGTAAAATTTTATTGGGACTATCAGGTACATGTATACAGCCTTCTTCTTCTATAGCTTCTTTGTAAACTGCACAAAAATCCTACAAAAATAAATAATGATGAAAACTGTAGTGCAATTTACAACCATGGGGTGTCATTTTCATAAATTTGCAAATTATCCTAATATTAGTTTTTTACATTGAATCCAAGAATTTAATAATCTGAAACCCAAACTGCAGAATTCCAAAGGCAGTTAGTATCTGGGTTGGGTATTCTTGTGTTTTTAGTAATATCACAAAAGTGTGAATACAAAAAATAAATGTCATTTCTCTATCAGTTAAAAAGTCTGGTTTGATTAATTATTTTGAAGAATAA